AAAACATAATCTAAAGACACCTTGTCTCTAAATATTTTGGACCTTGCGTTCTTTCAGTTTATTCATATTCCTTTTAAAACTGTATCACATAATATTTATGAAGATACTTTCCTTTTTCCCCCCAAATCATATATATCAACTCATTTATTCATTTAAGACCACCTATTTTATGCTAGGCATTGGAAGACAAAACCAGGAATGATTAAGAATGTGGGTCGTAGAGTCAAAGATAGTTTTTTTGTTGTTGTTGTTTTTTTAAATTAGGTCTCTGCCACTTACTAGCTTTGTGGTCTTGGGTCAAATCCTAATTTTACAGTCTTAATTTCTTTATCTGTAAAATAGAAATAATACCTACACCTCATGGAGTGGTTAAAAAAGATTATTAAAATAATGTGAGGCATTTAGGACAATGGTAGACACATTTTAAGCACCTAATAGGGACTAGTTATTTTAATTCAAAGACCAGGTCTATGCTCTCAAGAAGCTTAATAGATTTGGGATAGCAGGGGGTCAATTTCAATTTAGGGTCATTAGAACTTACACAGGGAGAATGGGTCCTACTGGAACAAACAGAAAGGTGTTCTGTTATTTATGAGGGCCATCCAGGTATGCTAACTTACCTGGTGGAAAGGTGGCATTACCTTCCCCAAATAGAGCAGCTGTGACTCTTTTCCCTATTTTATAGTGTGTTTGAAAAATTTTCCAAACTAAACATTTTATGTATTTTGCATGTTAAGCTATGTACCTAGATCAGCTATGCTCAGAGCAAGTAGAACTAACATGAGATCCTAATTTGGTAGGGTAGGTGGAATAAGCCATAAGAATATATTTAGAAGGGAGCATATAACAGGAAAAAACTTACCAGAAGAAAAGATTGGTCTTTACTTTGGATCTTTTTGACTTTTGTGAGGCAGATAATATACCCACTTCAGTAAAAATCAGAATATGGGCCTTTAAAAGATGTTACATAAACAAAATTATTATATTATTTTTTTTTTTG